CCCTCGTGAGTGATTATACAAATATTCTATAATATAACATCTTGATTTTATAGAAATAACGAATATATTGTACTTGAAGCTGAAAAATCAAATCAAGATGATCAGCAAAACATAACAACAACTTCTGAACTTGTATCATGTGATGAGAAATCACCAATCAAAGGTACTTTGACAAGCTCTATAATGGATAGGTATGTTTATTAAACTTTGCAAAGTTTACTTAACAAGGGCTCGCTTCTTTTATCTGCTTAATAGCAGTGTTCTTGATAAAAGAGTTTCTAATATTTTCTAGTGATGATAATGATTTTCAACAATCAATAGTTTCACAAGATACTATAGCGAATGTTCAAGATATCGATTTCTTTTGTCAATCTACAAATAAAAGGTACTTTGCAACACAAATCTATTGCACAAATTATCGTATTTTTATTTTACGCTGGTCTTTAGAAAAACCCAAAAACAATTCGATAATGAAATTAAAAAAAACCGTTTAATTTTCCAATTAACAATGTGGAATGAATTTGCACCGATTAATAGTAAACGACGTGCAAATACAACTAAACTTACAACTACAATTACACATAAACGTTCAAAAGAAAGCTAAACTTGACTTTCGTTTCGAATTGATAATTCTATATTTTTTTTAATTTTCTTCTTGTATTCACATACTAGATAAATACATGAATATATGAAATGAACACATATGCATAAGAACCTAAGTAAAGCTCTGTTTCTACATTCACTTTAACTTTTACCAAACGTGAAGCGCCTATTATTCGTCCATTTTTCAAACATAACCAACTTGGCAATCATCTGAGTTGGTTATCAAGTAAGATGGTTACCAACTCAGTTGGCTACCAACTCAGATGGGTACTAAGTCAGTTGGCTACCAACTCAGATGGCTACCAAGTCAGTTGGCTGTCGACTCAGATGGTTACCATCTGACTTGGTAGTCAATTTAATCGACATGGAAACCATCTCAAGTGGGACTTAACTGACTTGATGTGATCGATTAATTGCCTCAGTAGAATTGTTGCATACATGATTAAACTCAACTTATATTTGTTTTCGGTGACCAAATTCTTTCGGCGAAAATAGAATCGACGAACTCCATTTTTGGCGAATTTCTTTTCGGCATAATTCGTCTTCGGCGAAAATGGAATTTACCGAGCAAGGGTGTGGGTGTGGGTGTTATTACTATCATTTACGCTCACATCATCCACACCCGCATCTTTTGAAAATGAAAATTTAGAATTCTTAAGATCATTTTAATAGAAATTTATTGAAAATGTCGATGCAACATCTGTAAAATATCTTTAACTGATGCCATTGTAACAACTTTTTCATCAATATACGGTGGAATGATAGTGCAACCCCATTCTTTCAACTTCGTCTCTGATATACGAGTCTGTGGATGATTCCATAGGCCATGATTCATTGCCGGCGCGATAAATATCGGACATCCAGCACCCAGTGCATCGGCAATCATTGATGTTGCAAGATTGTCGGCTAAGCCCAATGCCAACTTATTAAATGTATTGAATGTACAAGGTGCAACAAGCATTGTACCGAATGGAAATCTATTGAGTGGTGGATCCTTGTAGTCACGAATAGCATGGCTACCGGACAAATTATGAATTTCATCAGGAGGTAACACAGAACTCACGTTTGGTGTCAAGATTGTATATGTCTTCCAACCGGCAGCCACGGTTTCACAGACAAGTTCAGGGACATCCTTTGCTCGGCCAGAACCTGTCACAAATATGAATATTGTAGATGTTGACATTTTGCTATCGTGAATAAGAAGTGAAAAAGTAAAGTGTTGTGTACAAAATTTACTTTTCTTTTCTTCTGTTATACAAGGTTTTTTTTACTTTCTCTTGTTTACGATATCGTCATCAAGTGTGGCTTGAGTGGTGAGAAAGAAATTCATTATTCCTTCGTTCTCAAAAGGTGAGAGGAGATGGAGACAAGCGAGATAAATGTAAATGTAAGGGCCCAGGGAATAAAAAAATGAAAGAAATTTCATTTAAATGATTTTCTCCAAACTTTTCATCAAAAAAATTTCGTTACTTTAATTATTTCGCGCAAGTCAAACTCATCCGGATAGTTTCATTATTTTTGTATCATTTTCCCTAGTCGAACATCTTGTAAGCAAGATCTTGGCCAAAATCTTAGGTACAGAAATGTAAACAGATCTTGGAAATTTAGGTACAAAATCTTGAATTAGATGTTAGGTACAGACATTTAAGATCTTAGACACAGATTCATAAGACCTTAGATATGGATCCATAAGATCTTGGGTATACACTGAGATTATACGTGTTGCGTGTGTCGTGATTTGCGACACAATGCATGATAGATTCTCAAAGGGTGGTTCGAATCTATCATATAGAGCACTTTTTTTTTTCTGTAAAATCATGTTATGACATTTTTTTTTTCAATTTATTTCATTTTAATTATTCCTATTCCGAATAACTAAAGCAAGTCAGATCTTGGAACCTGCCTGATCTAGAGATGGCTCGATCTCCATCAAACTACTTCAGGGTAGTCTGCTCTCGATCATTGATCGAGATCAGCATTTTCTCGAATGATTAATAGTCGAGAAAGAGTTTAGAAAAAAATATATTTTGAAAATGTACGTTTCGTATGTTCAATCAAGTTGTTTATATACGGCTCTATATGCATAAAAGAAACGGTGAATGACTAGTCAGCATGTAACCAATAAACTAATGATGTCGCTTTTTGCTGTATTCAAGATCTTGTGAGAAGATAAAAGTGAACGATATCTTTTCCATGATCTTAACAAGATCTTAAGCACAGATTTATCTGATATAACCAAGATATGCATATGCAAATTATCTTTCCAAGATCTGATCAAGATCTTGCTTATCGGTCCCAAGATTTCAAGATCTTGCTTACAAGATGTTTCACTAGGGTTCATTGTCTTCAATTGATTATTCTCGAAAAATTGAAATTATTGCATTAATTTCATTTTTTTTGCACGACTTTTATCAGATAATCTTAATTTTTCTGAAAAACTATAATAATAACATTACTTTCACTGTTTTTACATCATTTTCATTCCATTAAATAGTCTATTCCAGAAAAATTACAATCATTGCACGAGTTTTAGTTTTTTTGCATTATTTTTATTAGATGATCTTGAGTTTTTTACAAAACTATAATCATTGCAGTACTTTCATCATTTTTATTCCATTAAATTCTGTATTCTTGAAACATTAAAATCACTGCATTAGTTTCATTACTTTTGCATCGTTTCCACTTCATTAAATTGTCTATTCTTAAAAAATTGAATTCATCCGACTAGTTTCACTTTCTTGCATCATTTTCATCACACGATCTTGATTTTTTACAAAACTATTATAATAACAGTACTTTCATTATTTTTGCATCATTGTTACTCCATTAAATTCTGTATTCTTGAAACATTAAAATCACCTCATTAGTTTCATTACTTTTGCATCATTTTCACTTCATTAAATTGTCTATTCTTAAAAACTTGAATCAATCGCATTAGCTTTATTTGTTTTTCATCATTTTCATCAGGTAATCTTAATTTTTTACAAAAGCATTATAACAACAGTACTTTCATGACTTTTGCATCATTTTTATTTCATTAAATTCTGTATTCTTGAAAAATTAAAATCACTGCATTAATTTCATTACTTTTACATCATTTCCACTGCATTAATTTGTTTATTTTAAAAAAACTGAATTACTTGCATTAGTTTTATTTCTTTTTCATCATTTTTATCAGGTAATCTTGATTCTTTTTTGCAAAATTATAATAATAACAGCACTTTCATTACTTTTGCATCATTTTCATTCCAGGATTTGGATGACTACACAAAAATGAAAATCATTACCTTACTTTTATCACTTTTCCACACTATTATTCCATGGCCCTTTCATTACCCTTGAAAAATCAAAGTCATAACTTTAATTTGATTAGTTTCGAATTAGTTTCAGTTGATGCCTTTGATTGTTCTGGAAAAATCAAAATCATTACATTACTTTCATTAGTTTTCCATCAATTCCAGTTCATGATTTTGATGACTTTGAAAAAATCAAAATCATTACATTACTTCCAATTACTTTTACACCATTTTCATTTCATAACTTCGATTACTCTGGAGAAATCAAAATGATTATATTCCTCTCATTACCTTTGCATTATTCTTACCGATGATTTTGATGCCTACGTAAAAATCAAAATCTTTGTACTACTTTTCCTCACTTTCATTTCATAACTTTAATTATCCGGAAAAAAGGAAAGTTATAACATTGCTTTCATTACTTTTGCATCATTTTCATTTCATGAATTTGATGATTCATCAAAAAAATTGATGAATTTGAACCTTATCTCCACATCTGTC